CACCACGGGTATCGAAACCCGGTTTCTAGCGTTGTAAGTCCGCAGATATACCGCTGTGCCACTGGGGGGGGGGGCAGCTAAAACTGATTTCTCTCACTTTAGAAATAAGCACACGAAAACAACAACAACAACAACAACATTAGTTCAGTTGCACATGGCTTCAAGACACTTTTTTTCAGTTCTTTTAGGGTTACCATTGCTAATGACAATGTGATGAATTTCCATTCCGAACTGTGAAATATTTCATACCGACAGGAGGCCATTATTTAGAGTGACCCATAAGGTTGTTCTTAAAGGTTCTGTCAAATATGTTGCCACACCTTTTCTCTGGAATTCAACGGCCATTTTGTTTTTCAACGGTAATTTTTTTTTTCGGCTCTGGTAAGGTTATTAGGAAGCACATCAGTGATGTTTACACATCCTGGAACGAGAAGGAAGATAAATTAAAGAGAAAGAGGAAGCGTTGATAAGCATGAAATGTTAAAAAAATAATAAATATTAATTATATAAAAAAACAACCATAAGGCAGAGTCAACATACTTGAAACACATTAACTAGATAACGTACAAACCGTAATGGTTTTCGTTTTTACTTTATCACTACTGAAGAGATAAATACCTTTGCGAGTTGTGGGTTAGAACGAATTACAAGCTACTAAGAAAAACAGTTTGGGAGTTCTTGTTTTGAAGTATAAACCACCATTTAGAAAGTGTACGGAGCAGTTGAATTACCACAAAACCTGAATTTTTAATTAAACTATCTTAGCAAATTTGTTTTATTTTATATTCACTGTGCATTTTGAAGAAAAATGTTGAATTAAATGATAAAATATCTCGCCAGCATCTACAAATAATCTGATCTGCATCTACAGATAATCTGATCTGCATCTACAAGTATAATCTGATCTGCATCTACAAGTATAATCTGATCTGCATCTACAAGTATAATCTGATCTGCATCTACAAGTATAATCTGATCTGCATCTACAGATAATCTGATCTGCATCTACAAGTATAATCTGATCTGCATCTACAAGTATAATTTGAAGTACGCTAACCTTAAACCTCATACGATACCCGAACCAACAAGATTTAGATCAGTTATTATAATGTATACATAAATATGATTAATATCTGTTTACAATTACTCAATATACTGATTTATCCGTTACTTGTGGCTAGAAAAATTATTTGGATATAAGAATACTAGTGTAAAGAGTGATCCGGATATCCGATTTCAGTCCGGATCTGTAGTCCAACAGTGTGCAATTCAATTCAATTAGGTAGTGTAGGTAATATACAGTATACGAGGGTAGTGCCCCCCAGTGGCACAGCGTTATGTCTGCGGACTTACAACCGGGTTTCGATACCCGTGGTGGGCAGAGCACAGATAGCTCTTGTGTAGCTTTGTGCATAATTAAAAAAAACAAACGAGGGGAGTACTTCCCCAAACTTTGATGTTTGCCTCAAGTCTTTTGGTTAGCAGATTACTTTAACCACTTGAAATAATTGGAATACATTTAACTAACCTAATCTTTTTTTTTTTTAAACTTCCTATCGTTCCAGTTTATATGTCAACGTTTTAGAAGATACGGATGTATAGTACCCCTGTATATCTAACAACTGCAATCCTTTTGTTTAGATAAGGAAAATGAAATAATATCAACTGTAATCTGTTTACATCTTATTTTTATTTTATTTTATACCCGTTGCTTGCAAGGAGTTGCTCCTCGTGGGGGCGCCACTGACTACAGCAAGCTTTTCGGTTTCTACATTGTTTTCTAGTGATGTTTAGTATTGTCTTATTCAACGAGATGACTTACGCTGATAATACCATTTTTTTCACATTGTTCTCAACCCTATGATATTAGTTGCTTGTGGTGTTTCTCACACCTCCAAGTTCGTTAGGATCTTTTAGAGGTGTTCATCCGGGAGTAGGACTTGCGTCCTAGTCCGGACACCGGGTTTGGATCACTCTTAGTTTTCCCCTTTTGGGGTACTTCAGCCACCGCACTTCAACAACGTGGTGATCCGGCGCAATAGAACCGTATTATGTCTGTATTTTAGTACAACATATAAATATCTGAATAGTTATGAAAACAATAAACGTTTGTGCGTTTGAACTTATAATATTGTTACTAATAAGTGACTTTATCCTAGGTACTCTTTGCTGGACATTAGAAATACAGCTTTCAATGCTAAAAATCGGGCTTCGATACCTGTAGTGGGCAGAGCACAGATAGCCCGTTGTGTAGCTTTGCGCTTAACAACAACCAAATTAGAAATGCAGTAAAAAGCGTTTTATACATAACAAATAAAATGTGAGTCTACAGATCTTCAGGTTGAGTATGGTATGGTGGTTAACTTGACATTCAGGCCTAATATGGCTTGGTAGTTAACTTGATATTCAGGCCTAATATGGCTTGGTGATTAACTTGATATTCAGGCCTAATATGGCTTGGTGGTTAACTTGATATTCAGGCCTAATATGGCTTGGTGATTAACTTGATATTCAGGCCTAATATGGCTTGGTGATTAACTTGATATTCAGGCCTAATATGGCTTGGTGATTAACTTGATATTCAGGCCTAATATAGCTTGGTGATTAACTTGATATTCAGGCCTAATATAGCTTGGTGGTTAACTTGATATTCAGGCCTAATATAGGCTTGGTGGTTAACTTGATATTCAGGCCGAATATGGCTTGGTGGTTAACTTGATATTTAGGCCTAATATGGCTAGGTGGTTAACTTGATATTCGGGCCTAATATAGCTTGGTGGTTAACTTGGCCGGACTGTGAAATCGAGGATTTTTCATGTTTTGATACTCGCTGCCTCGAGAACGCACTCCGTACATTTGAGCTATGGGTACATTGTAATAGTGGTGATTTAGATCCCACTATTCTATCTGACAGAAGTAGACCAAGAATTAACGGTGTTATATAGCTTTGCTTTTCCTCTGGTCTATCAGTTGAAAATTAGGGACGGCTGAGCGTACATAGCCCTTATGCTAGCTTTGTACGGAAACTGTAAAACAATGTTTGCGCGAAGTTCTGAAGCAAACCACAGATCTTGAACAATATTTTACACGTGTGTAGGTTTAGGTTTTCTTTTCTTTTTCTGAACACAGTTTGTTTAGGGGATAAAATAATATAAAGCCAGTCCTAATCTCATCGGAGGCGTAATATGGTATGATTATGCAGTTTCTGGTATCGTTGATTCTCCGTTAAGTTTAAAGTGAAAAAAAATAAAAAACAATACACCAACTTCTGATACTTACTATACCGTCTTAATAAACTACTTGGTCTCCGTGAAATGCACCGCTAATTTGTATGGAACATTCGTTGTGACTGTTAGTAGTTATTTACGAAGGCCATCGTAGTTGTCACATCAGTCACCAGGTGAGGCTAGAGATCACACTGTTACGTGCAGGTTGAAAACATATTAAGAGTACATCAAGAATGAAAGCTTAGAAAGAGACCCTTGTTTGTATCCGTCCGCCAAGGGCGTGGAGAGGCGGGAAACCCCTACGATCTTGGCGTGGCCACTTAAAAAAACTAAAGCAAAACACATAATATGCAATTATTTTTATCGTCTGAATAGAAATGTAAACATAACATCCTGTAGATGGAGTTTTAGTCGTGAAAGACTGGAACATCATTTTTTTAATGGAAAATGAGATCGTTAGAAAACACATCCATTCTTAGGTTTACGTTTTTCCAACTGATCTGTTTGTTCGTTTGTTTTGTTGTTAAACACAAAGCTACACGGTAGATTATCTGTGCTATGCCTACCACGGGTATCGAAACCCAGTTTCTAGCGTTATAAGCCTTCGGACTTACTGCTGAGCCACTGAGGAGCATCTCAGATGTTCGCAAAGGTGTTATATATATATTGTTTAAGTCTTCTCTCCTTAACGCTAATAACAAGATGTCTGACACTGTAAAAAAAATTAAAAACGATGCATATTCCAAAAGTATTCCTGGGAATATATCGAAGGTGTTCTATGTTTTAGTGTACTTTCGAGTTTAATTTTATAAAAATCTGTCGTTTAAATTAGTGTAGATTAATTAAACTAATTACTCGAACAAACAGTGGAAAACAAGGCTGCACAAAAGCTACGCCTCAATCTTACTCTTCGTACGGATAGTTTGTTCCCGACCGCATAAATAACCCGTAGTTTTGAATTTTCTCATCTACCGTTGGAGGGCGTGCCATGACCGTTTTGTTTTGGTGTCATCTAGCCTAATGCAACTTGACGGCTGTCGCACGTTTTTATTATCTTGTTATTTTAAAAAAAACAAACAAATTATGATGATGACCCTCAACAAACAAACCACCCTGCACGCGCAGGGTTTGGTTTCTCATTAAGCGAACTGTTTTAATTGTGAACATTTTTTTTTCTCTTCATAAGTACGTAACCGGTACTTAATTTATACGGATGACATGCTTCATGATGAAACGGGCAAAAATAAAAAAAAACTTTTTACATAATGATAACTTGAGTTTTTTGGTTAAATTACAAATAAAACGTGCACCTTTTTTTTTGTAGACAATTTAGAGTGTCTTTCGGCAGATTAAAAACAACAACTCTATTTTGTTTCTGTGAGCCCAATCAACATATAATTCGATATAAAATTGTGCTTAAGAATACATAAAAAAAGATTAATTAGAGAAAATACAAGAAATATTTTCTTAACGTTAGTTGTTTTTTTTTATAAGTACAAATTTCGCCTCCCAGTGTTATGTTTGCGGACGTATACTGCTAGAAACCGTGTTTCGATACCCGTGGTGGGCAGAGCACAAATAGCCCTTTGTGTAGCTTTGTGCTTAATAACCAACAAGAACAATGCACAAATATACACAATGGGCTATCTAGGCTTTGTTCACCGCCCGATTTTTAGTGTGGTAGGTCTGCAGAGTTATTGCTGAGCCACTGCGGGCCGTTCTTAACGATTATGTTATCGAGAGGTTTTTGTCTTTTTATAACATCAGATAATTTGATTTAAAATTATCGTACCTTTATTAAGTTATTTCATTTTTGTTAGTATTGTTAGTTTGTTTTTGAATTTCGCGCAAAGCTACACGAGGGTTATCTCCGCTAGCTATTCCTAATTTAGCAGTGAAAGGCTAGAGGGAAGACAGCTAGTCATCACCAGCTAACCCTTGGGCTGCTCTTTTACCAACGAATAGTGGGATTGACCGTCACATTATAACGCTCCCACGGCTGAAAGGGCGAGCATGTTTGTTGGGACGGGGTTTCGAACCCTCGATCCTCAGATTGTGAGTCAAGCGCCCCCTAACCACCTGACCATAGTATTGTTAGAGATAAGGAATGAGACTTTATTTTTATACATCTTTCAAGTGTACGTCTTACCTTTAAATTAAAGATAATCTTGACACAGCTAGATTTCGTTGTCTTTTTAAATAAAATATTTGTAAAAAAAATACAAATAGAAATATTATTTAAATCAAGATTAAACTTGATGGCTCCGAATTTCTGAAAAAAAAACTACTAAAGAAAGATTTGGTCATTCTGAGTTTGTAGTGTAGAATAAACCACAGAAAGATTTGGTAATTCTGAGTTTGTAGTGTAGAATAAACCACAGAAAGATTTGGTAATTCTGAGTTTGTAGTGTAGAATAAACCACAGAAAGATTTGGTAATTCTGAGTTTGTAGTGTAGAATAAACCACAGAAAGATTTCATAGTGTGAGTTGTGGTTGTCATTGTTCGATTCGAGGATCAACTCTGCTACGTCTCATTGAATTTGTGATACCAAAAAAACGAGGAAATGTTTGATACTTTTATATGTTATGAAGTAGAACGAACAAAGGAAAAGGTTTGATACTTTTATATGTTTCAAAACTACCAAAACCATGGAAATGTTTGATACTTGTATATGTTATGAAGTAGAACGAACAAAGGAAAAGGTTTGATACTTCTATATGTTTCAAAACTACCAAAACCATGGAAATGTTTGATACTTTTATATGTTTCAAAACTACCAAAACCATGGAAATGTTTGATACTTTTATATGTTATGAAGTAGAACGAA